GTCCAAAAACATTGCTAGGACGAAGAGCACGTGTCAGGAGACCATCAATATTGTTAGCAAACAGAACTAGAGCTTCTGCTTGAGCCTTAAGGTCACGCATCATATCCTGAAACAGTATCAGGTATACATCAAAAGATCAAAGGATGATTAGACATGTCAGAAGAAGATTTTATAAGAGAAATGCAGTAAGCAGAAGAACTTACTTTCCAATGGCATGTTAAGGATTCATCTCCATTATAAATATCCTCCATTTTTCTGTAAACCTTCTTTGTTTTAGTTTCTTCTTTTCTCAACCTATTGTAAATTTTGCAACAATGTGTTAGTAAATCATGAGTAAATAGTACTGGAACAAATAATTATCAATGTAAATTATGTAGAAGCGTCAAGAGCTCCGATCAGAATTGGCAAAAAATCATCCTAAATGAACTAACCTAAGGAGTAAACATATTATCTACCAGATTGTTGCAACTACGGGAGTTTTATCCTACATTTCTCAACATTTCTTCTACTGAATCATTCAACAGCATATCCACGAACTTAAGTGATAAATCTTAATCAACCGTGAAAAGCCAAACAATCAACTTGACAGTATAATCACATAAACTGACAAAAGCCAAGAGGATAGTGAAGGCAAGAGCTTGCATCACCGATAAAAATCATATAAACATAAAGCACTCCAGATTCTGGACCATAAACTAGGAAAGTCCTGAACAAATTAAGAAAACCCATGTCCAAAAAGAGCAATTGAGACCAACAATAGAAGGTTGGCTACATACGAGGTAAAAGTTCTTCCAAAAAGGAAAAACCAGTAAAACAACAAAACCAGTAAAATGTCTGCGACTACAGCGACAGAGCTCAAGGTCTATTTACAACAATAATCATATAATGAACTCGATATACAATGCTCATTGAAATGCACCATAACAAAAATGATGAACTGATAAAATCTAACTTAAAAACATGTTTTACAAAACAAGCTCTTTAGTGAATAGTAGTTGTATTTTACTTAAAATTTGAGCAATTTATTGCATATGGGCTTTCAGTTGCAATAACACACAAAAATGCCTCATTCATCAATACAAAAAGAAATATAGAAAGCCAATTAAACATGTATCCTTCAGACAGTGATACATGACATAACTAGATATTGGGTATCAGACAGCAACTTGAGTGCTGATGCAAATTATTAGGGCTTGTACCAAGCACAACCCAGTCAAATAATTTTTGTATACCTAGAACAGTGTTGATGTTCCTATCATGTTGATATTGAGTCACTAGGTTTGCAACCCAATATAACCAAGTGAACACTAATAGACTTATAACAACATAATCTTCAGCCCTACAATTTCAAAAGGTTGCATCTCTGATAAAATTAACTAGTAATCGTATTAATGGGTGGATATATTGAACACGAGTAACATATTGCATCCTGGAGTTCATACTGTTTTGTGGTAAATTAATGAGGTTCGGCAATAATGGGCGCATTTAACACTAGTGCAGGGAAAGTGAACCGATCGAATAATATAGACCGGCTATGGCAAACTGGGAAATGAGAGCCTGGTGGTGATGAGCAGGATTTATGGATCATATACAAATTAAGGTAAACTAAATTAACTATCGGTTTCATTATGATATCTTTTAAGTTCAACTATTAGGATTTAATAAATTCTTTAATAGTTAATTAATTAGAAGAAAGACAAGATTTACATATTACTAGTTGATCGAGCCTTACATTAATATCCCCACAAGAACAGATATTAATCACATGATCAAGCCTATATGAAAAAAACTTTAAATTAACTAGTAATCGTATTAATTATGATCCCGGAGGATCTTTATATTAAAAATCTAGTATACTAAGTAAAATAAACCCATAATGCCAAAATTTATGTGTGACATGAGAACAGATAACTTTAATGTAACATGCAAGGCAGAAGAATCAAAGTCAAAATCCATACCTTGATGAAGTTATTCCAATCATCCCCTTTGGCCAATGTTCTTAAATTCCAAATCCCCTGGTTCCATAAAAATGCTATTCTTGCGATTGATTATAGTTTCTGAGATCTGAAAACCAGAAAAAGGTATGCTAGGAACTTTGAGACCAAATCTATAGAGAAAGAATACCATGTATTCAGTAGAGCTGAAAAGTCTTCCAAGCTATCAACTTGATGACATAACCACGTAAACTGATAAAAGCCAAGACGTCAGTGAAGGCAAAAGCTTGCATCTCTGATAAAAATGATATAAAAATGCTAGAGTGGCTGATTCTTGGAAGATTGATTAAACTAGGGAAAAGAAAAGATCTTACACACAAACTTTTGTAGTTAAAAGTTTGATGGTAAAATGCCATACCCAAAAAGAGCAATCATGACCAGCAATAGAAGCTTGGCTGCAGATGAGGAAAAAGTTCTTCCACAAGGAAAAAAAAAAAAGTAAAAAAATCAAACCAGAGCCAGAAAGTTTGTAAATGATTTCTTCTCATCTCTCCACAGCAAAATGTCTGTAGCTGCCGTGGTAAAGTTCAGGGTCAATTTACAGGAGTAATCACAAAACAAACTTGATATACAAAGCAATTGAGATACACCATAACGAAAATGAAGTTGATATCCATGGCACCACGATATTATATATACAGGGATCTTATTAGTTGGAGGATACTTTAATGCTTCCCAAACAGAATTTGTTAAGAACAGGTTCATTATAATAGACAATGTTAAGATAAATATGTTATTTCATTTTCCACAAAATCCAGATTCATATATAAGTTACAACCCTCTTAATACATGAATTAATTAATTTGCTTGATGCATAAATAACTTGATCTGATATGCATGAAGTATCCTAGATTATTTTTATACAAAAGAGAAGAAATACATGGTGCCTAGTAAAGTGGTAATCGTTCTAGAATTTACATGCAACTGCACTTATCTCTCAAGTTTCGTAGAAGAAGCTAAGAGCAAAATAATAAATTCAAGTTAACACACCTTTCTTAACAAGAGGAGCTGCTTGCATTATTGTAATTCTTAGGTGCAGTTGATCCAATGTAGATGTGGGAATGTGAGCGATTTTCTACCAATCCTCACCTAGATTTTTCTTGCAGCGATGTTCAAGCCTTGGACATTCCCTGATGGAAAGATGTTGGAGGCTAGTCAGATGGTGCAGGCCTTCTGGGAGTGAAACTAGTGCAGGCCTTCTGGGAGTGAAACTATGGCCTAACAATCCGATAATGCTAAAGAAGTAAGACCAGAAAGGTTTCCAATCCATCCAGGTAAATTTTCGAAAGCAGGGCAGCTATGGATTTCCAAGCTTTGCAGGGACGTGACATGTTGTAGCTCCTCAGGGAGAGATGCCAGCTCGGGACAGCTCAAAATGTACAAACTCTTTAGCATGGAGAAATTTCTGAAGTTGGCTGGCATAGACGCCAAACTTGGGCAATACATTATCGCTAAATGCTCAAGAGCCGTAAGATGTTGCAGCTCTTTCGATACAGATGCTAGATTGCTGCAGTTCTCGATGGAAAGTGAAAGCAGCAGCGAACTCAAACCTCAAAAACCTTCTGGCAAAGTTATAAGGCTGATGCACTCACTGATCTCCAAAGATTCCAATGAGGAGAGGTTTTGAATTTCTTGTGGCAGGGAGATTAGCTCGACACCAACGGATTGTTAACGATTTAAGAGCAGTCAAGCCTCCTAACTTTGAGGATATCGAGCGAAGATTCGGAGAGGAGATAATTGTTAAATACATGAGACAGGGATTGTTTTCAAGCAAGGTTTCCAAGAAAACCAACAGCCCATTGAAGACATCAATTACAAGATTTAAGAGTGTGGAAAGGTTTGCAGCTGACCTCAAGATCATTTCATTACAATGCCTTAGCCCTAGACGCTGAAGAGAAAAAAACCATGGCATGTTTTTCAACCTTGGACATTTCTTGACAGTTAGCTTGATGAGCGAAGGGAATTCCTCTTTTATGTTCATGCTCCACCAAAATTACAAATTGGGAAAATCTATGAAGGTGAGTTCTTGAAGTGACTGGAATGGTCTTCTAGAGCCTCTGCCATAGATTTCGCTCCCAATGTTCTTCAATGCCAACATGCCACACATGTAGATAACATTCAAGAACGGTAATTGTCCAAGAGCAGGGAGATGCTCACATTGTTTGCAACAAATCAACTCTATATTGGTCGGATTAGGGATTTAAGAAGCACCAGTCCATCTGGGGGAGTAGCCTCCACAATAAATCAACTCACATTGTATAAAGAAATTTATCATCCTTTGGACCATTATTGTCCTAGTAGAAGTAAGAACCATTCCACAATTTCTCATATACAACTTTTGCTTACTGAAATTTGCACCAGAAATAATCCTCAAACTCTTTAGACCAATTTCATGTGCAAATGCTAACACAGCCTGCAATGCTGCCACCTCCACTATTTGCACTTACAACAAAGACAGATAAGTAATTGTATGTCTAATAAGGGAAGCCATCATTCTTAATCATCCCCATCACTCTCCCTATCAAATTCGAACAGATGAAAGTGTTTACTGAACTTTCTTCTTAGAGTAACCAAAATTGAGCATTTGGGCTGCTGGATGAACTTTTGCAGGATTCTACTCCAAAAAAAGTTTAATACTCACTAAATTTTTATCAAGAAAACTTCAATTTCGCTTTTGGACCGGAAATTGAGGAAGTTGGTTCAAACATTCACTATAATTTTTTACCTTCATTAGTAACTGCATGACTAAGGACATTGTACATTCAGTCGGCTTCACATTTCTCTCCGCCATCTTATGAAGGAGGTCAACAACTTTTGGTATCTTACTATTCTTGAGGAAACCTAAATATAGCGTAGTAAATGTGATTATATCTGGAGCACAACCTTTTTTCTTCATATGTGACAACAACTCATTTGCCTTTTCTAGTGCCCATTTTTACAAAGCATATTGATCAAAATACTATAAGTGACTACGTCTGGAGTAGTTCCTGAACTCTTCATTTCGAACTACAAGTTTATCGCCTTCTTAACTAATCCAACCTTACAAAGACCATCAATTACAGTACTATAACTAACAACATTTGGCCTACAAATAACACCAGATTCTTCATTTCCCTTAGCCATTTCTTCAAGCAACTTAATGGTAGGACTTATCTCCCCTATTTTACACAATCCATTCATAAAAATGTTGTAAGTATAAACGGTGGGATCCACTCCTCTCTGAATCATAAGTTCCAACAATCTATTTGCTTCGTCCAATTTCCTTTTCTTGCAACGTTCATCTATGAGCACATTAAATGACACCACAGAAGGCCGCACATCTTGATCCATCATTTCAATAAATAAACTTGTACCCTTTTTCCAATCACCCACACAACAAAATCCATGAATTAGAGTGGTATAAGTGACTGTGTCTAGACTGATTCCAAAACCCTTCATTTCCAAAAACAATTCTCTAGCCTTCTCAATTAATCCAGCCTTACAAAGACCATCAATTATAGTATTATAAGTAAAAATATTTGGCCAACAAATAACACCAAATCCTATATTCTCATTAACCATCTCTTCATGCAATTTAATGGCAACACTTACACAATCCACCAATCAAAGTCCCATAAGTAGTCACATCAGGCCTACAACCAACAACAACCATTTTCTGAAACAATTCCATCGACTCCACAATCTTTCTCTCTACACACAGACCTTTGATCAAACAATTAAAAGTCGGAGCATCTGGGCTGAAACCCTTCTTCAAAATCTCCCCAAAAACCACAAAACCTTTAGAAACCCTTTCAATTTTACACAAGTAATTGATCAAAACGGTCAAAGACATTAAATCTGCAAACAACCCAATCGAATTCAACCACTTATAAAACGAAATCACTTCACAATAATGCTTCTTCTTTGCAAGTGCACTAAACAAAGTAGTGAATGATGAAATTGGAAAAATGGGTTGCGAATTAATCATGTAATAGTAGAAGTACAATGCTTCATTCAGAGTAAAGTTACCTAATCGACAATTTTCTTTGAGGAATTTAGCAAGTAAGGATCGTTCAAAGGGTTTTTCGAAGGAATACAAAACTTCATTATTGGAGCTTGAGGTTGTTATGTTGTGTAAGTGAGCTAACAAAGATGAAATATTACCTTTCAGAGATGGGTTTTTGAGAGATTGAAGACGAACGAAATGGGAATCTCAAAGCCATGTGTTCAGGGGAGGATGGTTGCTTTTCGGTTTCAGGATGTTTTCTATAATTCCAAAATTATCCAGTGAAAATGAAGGCCAAGCCAACTAAAATTTGTCTTAAGATTAAATAAATCTTAGTATTGAAATTTGAATTTAATTTACATGATATTAAAAATGTTTTTTTTTTTTTTTCTATTTGTTCTTCCAAATTTAAATATATAAAGATTTATTTTACATTGTGGAATGTGATGTATTAAAATTAAAGGATAAATAATTTTCCGAGATTGTTAAACTAATTATGTTGTTGAAATATTATATTATTAAAATAATCTTATGTATAGTTTGTTATGATTATTACTTACTAATTTTATATTATATAAAAAAATCATATTAATGGCCTTGAGGTTTGATATAATAAGAATAATCTAATTTATAAAGTAATAAAAATCCGTATCATTAAATTATAAAGATTAAAATAATATAACGAAAACAATTTTATAATATTTATTAATTTATAGATATATATTCTAGCACCAAACTAATAGTTTATCAATAACAAAAGAAATTTTATTATTTCAAACATCATAAGAGAATTTATGTAATTATAATAAACCTCAAAACAGTTGACTTAATGTTCTTGACTCTTTATGATACTATTATAATCCTTTATGTTAGTTTATCCGTTAAAAAATCTCTGTCACCCTCTCATCATTATAAGCAAGTTGAGCTAGAATGATTTTCCCCAGAGTTCCTAATCCAACTATAAGGATAACAGAATTTTTTCCATTGACCTCTTCCTACAACTTCTTATTCAATAAGAAAAGACCCGGTTTGTCTTTCCTCTTCAACATCGCACCTTCTTTCAAGTGAAAGTTAAGCCTTTCAGCTGCCAAAAAGTCTAATCTTTTTCTAATTTCTTTTAGCTTAGGGAACAATTCAAGATAAATTGCAATTGGTTTCAAAGAAGGAAAGAAGTCGGTAAATGACCTCGTCACGAAGAAGCCTCGACTCCTAGCCATTAGAGCATTCAAGCAGAACTCATCAAGTAAATTGTCAACATCATAGGCAACTTCTTTAAGCTCACCCAACCATATTTTCACTGCTTTCTCCTTCACTCGTCACTCTTCTACATCTTCAAAAACTGCTTGAATGATGCTTACTGAATGCCAAAGCTTGTCTATCTCATCCTCAAACCCACATTTAAGAGCTATTTCTTTCAAAAGCTGAGAAGCAACTTTGTGAAAAACTACTTCCAATAAAGGGCACAAAATAATATCTGCCATTTGCAAATAATGAAGGATCATGTTGTAATAACACTCTCACAAACCAAAATTATAACCTATAAAACAAGCAACCACAAAAGATCAAAACACCACAATTTTTACTATGGTTCACGTTTCCAAGAATGGGAAGGCTACATCCACGTTGAGCTACGGAAATGGACGAAGCTCACTGCACTAATTTGATGAACCAGTTTATAGATTACAGACACAAGATCAAACGATCCAAGAAAACCCGAAATCACCCTATCTGGTAACAAGCAACCTAGGAAACTAACACTCAGATTCCCAACCCTAAGAGAGACAATACCCCTCTATTAGAATGATAAACCCAATCACTCAACAAGTTACACAAAATCAAGATTTCAGAATAGAAAGATGAACCCTAGCAGAGCAAACCTAATACACAGTATCAATAAAAACTAATTCTGTTGAAGACTGAAGAAACATTTGCTTATATATCGTTGACCAGGATGGACCGAACTCTGCCGTTGGATCTCTTGAAGACTAATGGTCCCGATTCATTCTTGAAACGATAGCGTATTGGTTTAAGTAATGTGGCATCGTTTTAGTCTTCACATTTACAATCTCCACCTTGAAGACTTGAAACCAACTCTCTCACTTGACTCCCTTTTGGTGCAGTGTGCCTCAATTGATTCCCTCATAGCTCTGTTGATATTTTGATTACTTCAGGAATAGCAAATTCATGCAATGCTTGAACTTGGCTGGACTGACGATTTTTGTTCCCATGTTTGTTGGGTTTTCTTCAATGGGAACCTTTTTTAGTTCAATCAGCTCTTTGGTGATCAAGTCTCTAATGAAGTGTAACCTCATGTCCACATGTTTTGTTCTCTCATGATAGATGGGATTTTTATTAATAGTATAGCACTTTCACTATCTGAGAAGATAGTTACTTTGCTACTAGTCTGCTCAGTTTCTGTCAGTAATCCTTGCATCCATATGGCTTCCTTGAAACCATCTGTCAGGGCCACATATTTTGCTTCAGTCGTTGTTAGGGCAACTAGAGGCTGGAGTTTTGATTTCCAGCTGATGCAATTCCCTCCAAGGGTAAAGCAATATGTTGTGGTTGACTTCCTGCTATCCCTGTCACCTGTAAAGTCTGAATCCACAAACCCCACAAGATCAAGTGTAGATGTTCTTTTGCAATACTCTAAACCTATACATGTAATACTGTTTATATATCTGGGTACCCATTTCAAAGCAATCCAGTGATCACTTCTTGGATTTGACATGAACCTACTCAACAAAGTGATCACTTCCTGGATTTGACATGAACCTACTGAACAAAGATATTGCAAAAGCTAAATCTAGTCTGGTGCTAATCATTGTATACATTACTGATCCTATCACATTTGAGTAAGGTACAGTCTCCATTTTTATGGTTTCAGCAGAATTCTTAGGACATTGTGACTTAGACAGTATACAATGGTTAGCCAGTGGTATTATCACATGGTTGCAATCAGACATTCCAAATTTAGAGACTAATTTTTGCAGATATGGTGTTTAGTGGACTTTTAAGGTACTCCTACTTCTGTCCCTATCTATAATCATTCCAAGTATTTTCTTTGCCACTCCTAGGTCTTTCATATCAAATTCGGAACTGAGTCTAGCCTTTAGTTCAGTTATCTTTGATTTTGATTTACTAATTAGGAGCATATCATATACATAAAGCAGCAGGTAAATAGGCATGGCATCTTTTAGAGCAAAGTAAAAATAGTTATCATATTTGCTCCTAGTGAATCCTAGGTTAAGTATACAGGTATCAAACCTTTTATACCACTGTTTGGGTGACTGTTTAAGTCCATACAAGGACTTATGCAGCCTGCATACATGGTCTGGTCTTAGACTATCTACAAAGCCTACTGGTTGGGCCATGAAGATTTGCTCTTCTAAATCCCCATGAAGGAAGGCTGTTTTTACATCAAGTTGCTCTAACTCTAGGTCTTGGTGAGCTACAACAGACAGCATCATCCTAATGGTTTTATATTTTAATATGGGAGAGAAGACTTCATTAAAGTCTATGCCCTCCCTTTGGGTGAACCCTTTGGCCACCAATCTAGCTTTGTATCTAGGTGGTTCATTTGTTACTACACCTTCCTTAATCTTATACAACCATTTACACTAAATAATTTTTTGATATTTAGGTTTAGGAACAAGGGACCAAGTCCCATTTACCTTTAGGGAATTCATTTCCTGTTTCATTGCTTGCCACCATTTGTGCTTGTCCTTTGAAGTAATTGCTTCTGAGTATGACTCTAGTTCTATCCTCAGTACTTCAATTCTTGCCAGTAGGGCAGTATAGATCAGCTCTTCATATGAGTACCTTGTAAGGGGCCTAATCTATTTTCTGTCCTGTCCTTTGCTAGTTAGTATTCCTACAGCTCATCCAGCAAGGGATATTGGGCCTCCTCTGTTTCACCCTCATGCTGGTCAGGTCCATAAGGTGTTATTGCTTCTTCTGGTACAGGGTCATCTTCAGTTTGGGTGTCCTCTGGTTGCCTAATGGTTGCTTTCACCTCAATTAGTGTAGTGTCTGGTTGACCTAGTTGGGTTACATTGTTGCTTGGAGAACCTGCATCAATGTTAGCAAACTTGCAAGGGAAACCCCCTTCATTACAGATTACATCTCTGCTGATAATGATCTTTACCCCTGGTGCAGTTCTATCTCATAACCTATAACCTTTAGTGCCCTCTTGATGTCCTAAAAGTATACACTTTATAGACCTAGGCTCCAGTTTCCCATCACTTGTGTGTGCATATGCATCACATCCAAACACCCTCAGGTGACTTAGATTTAACTCTCTTCCTGACCATTTAGGCTCAGGACAGTTGAATCCTATGGAGCTGGTAGGGCCTCTGTTTATTAAGTAGGCAGCAGTGGTCAAAGCTTCTCCCCAAAAGGTTTTTGAAAGGTCTGAAGTGAACAGTAGACACCTGTCCTAACTATCCTATGCCATAAGATACCTTGATCCCTACAGTAGTTATCAAATTCCATATTGCAAAACTCTGGTCCATTGTCTGTTCTTAAGGCTTTCACTCTTCTATCTATTTGATTTTCCACTAGTGTTTTCCAGTTTTTAAACTTAGACAATGCCTCATCTTTGGACTTTAGTAGGTATACCCAAACTTTCCTACTGAAGTCATCAACAATGGAAAGGAAGTAGGAATTCCCTCCGTGAGATCTAATCCTCTTAACTCCCCAAAGGTCAGCATAGAGGTAGTCTAAATAGTTTTTGGATACGTGTATGCCTTAAGTGAAACTACCTCTATGTTGTTTTCCTAAAACACAGGTTTCACAGAAGTCTAGGGTTGTTATTTTATCTTTACCAAATAAACCATGTTGGCTAAGAATGCTCATACCCTTTTCACTCATATGCCCTAGCCTTAAATGCCACTTATCAGTAGTATTAAGATTGGTGGAGACTAGGGCACTATTCCTTTTCTCAGGGTGATAACTGCCACACAAAAGGTACAGACCATTCTTCTTCAGCCCCCTCAACACAATATGGTTATTTTAAACACATTATACAACCCCTTTCAGCCTTGTAGCTACAGCCTGATTCATCTAGAGTATCTAGGGATATTAAGTTCCTCTTTAGTTCAGGAATGTATCTAACATTTGATAACACAATAAGTTTTCCATCATCGAACCTTAGGGTTATATAACCTAATCCTAACACTCTGCAAGTGTTGTTGTTACCCATATAGACAGTTTCATATTCACCACCCCTAAAGTCCTGGAACCAATCTCTGTTAGGACTCATGTGGAAACAGCATCCTAAGTTTAACACCCAGTCATGTGTTTGATATGTCCTACACACAGTGAGAACTTCTGGATCAGTAACATGATTATCAGCACAGGCCACATTACTCTCAGTGTTCACAGATTTTTGTTTTCTAATCCAATCATAACAATTCTTTTTTAAATGACCAGACTTATTACAATGAAAACACTTCCTAGTCTCCTTTTTCTTTTTAGTCCCTTTCCCTTCTTTTTAGTCCCTTTCTTTTTAGTCTTAGACCATGTGTTTCTTTGCATGCCACTAGAAGAACTTCCTAGAATCAGTTTTACCCTTACAAACAATTATTCCCACTTCTTTTTTGAAACTTAACTCTAACCCTAGCCTTTAGTCATGATACTATACGATCTACACTAGGGACAGTACCGAGTACTATAAAGCATTTTTGACTAGTTGGTAGTCTTCTGTCAGTCAGTTTAGCAGGATCATTGCCAAACTCGTGTCTCCTAATTCTTGGTCAGTTCCTTTAGGATTATAATCATTTTCAAGAATTCATCATATTATCTTCTATTGACTTACTACTATTCATCTACATGAAAATAGTGCACCCTTTAAGAAAGCAAGATTTGGTGAGTTGTGAGGCATACATAGTTTCGAGTTTACCCCAGATTGTGATTGGAGCCTCCAATCTGTCCACTTTTCTCAACAGTTGTCTGCAAATTATCACGATCAAGTTGTACGCCTCCTCGGTGATTTTTGCCTTTCTTTTTAACTTGTCCGCTGCCACTTTTCTTCATCCTTTTCGAGTGCAATCCCAACTTTATTATGGAAAGTAGGGCCTTCATCTTCTTCTTCCAAGAATTGAAGTCTATGCCATTGTACTGTGAGATCTCCATGCGGGTTGAACTCATGGTGTCATAATAAGAAATCGGTTTCGATTCTTGATTATTATTGGTTTGATGATAACTACATCCTAAGAACCCTAGAACTCGAAATTTAGAAAACCCCCAATTTCGGTGAAACCTAGATTCTAATTTCCTTATTTTCGGATCTCGAATTCACTCTAGGCTCTAGGTAACAAGTCTGATACCACTTGTAATAACACCTCACAAACCAAAATTATAACCTATAAAACAAGCATCCACAAAAGATCAAAACACCATAATTTTTACTGTGGTTCACCTTTCCAAGAATGGGAAGGCTAGTCCACATGCGTCCGAAATGGATGAAGCTCACTGTGCTAATTTGATGAACCAGTTTACAGATTACACACAAGATCAAACGATCCAAGAAAACGAAATCACCCTATCTGGTAACAAGCAACCTAGGAAACTAACACCAGATTCTCAGCCCTAGAGAGAATACCCCTTATCAGAATGATAAACCCAATCACTCAAAAGTTACACAGAATCAAGATTTCAGAACAAAAGATGAACCCTAGAGAGCAAACCTAATACACAGTATCAATAAAAAATATCCTGTTGAAGACTGAAGAAATTTGCTATATATCGTTGACCAGGATGGACTGAACTCTGCCGTTGGATCTCTTGAAGACTGATGGTCCAGATTCATTCCTGAAACATAGCGTATTGGTTTAAGTAACATGGCATCGTTTCAGTCTTCACATTTACGATCAGTTCCAAGCTCCAGAACTTCCTCACCCAGCCACCAAAGATAGTATTTTGTGAAAGTGTGATCAAATCCTTCAAGATATGCATTCAGAAATATAGTAACTCCCTTAGGACATGAAAGTCAAAGTCATCTCTTGCATGTGTGAATCAATGAAATTAACAACGAATGTAAGTTTACATTATTACCGTATTAATCACTTTCTTGACTCTCTTTGTAAGTGACATTGATGTCAATAAGATCATAAATATATAAAAAATTATGTGTATTGAAAAAGTTGCGTAGGTCTTTGAACTATAGGAATAACCGAATTTTTTCCACTTGGTAATACTTGCCTATTGTAACTTCTTTCTCTTAACCTCTTCAACAAACTTCTGATTCAATAAGAAAAGACCCAGTTTGTCTTTTCTCAACATCACACCTTCTTTCAAGTTAAAGTTAAGCCTTCAGCTACCAAAAAGTCTAATCTTTTTCTAATTTCTTTAGCTTAGGGAACAATTCAAGATAAACTGCAATTGGTTTCAAAGAAGGAAAGAAATCATTTTATACCCATGAAAGAGCTCAAGGTCAAGGTCAATTTACAGCAATAATCATATAATGAACTCGATATACAAAGCCATTGAAATGCAACATAATGAAAATGATGAATTGATAAATCTAACTTAAAAACATGCTCTAAAAGCAAGCTCTTTTAGTGAATATCGTATTTTACTTAAAATTTGGGCAATTTATTGCATATGGGCTTTCAGTGCAATAACACATAAAAATGCCCATTCATCAATACAAAAAGAAATATACAGAACCAATTAACATATATCCTTTAGACAGACAGTGATACATGATACAACTAGATATCAAGTATC